GCAAGGAGAGAACCTTGGCTCGTACCCCAACACTCCCCTCCACTAAAAATATTACCCTTCATTCTCTCTCCCTCTCTCTCCCTCTCTCTCCCCTCCACTAAAAATATTACCCACCATTCTCTCTCTCTCTCTCTCTCTCTCTCTTTTCAATTGTTTATAAGTACTTTGATGATACCACTTCACATATTGAACAAACTTTATCCTCCCCTCTACTTTCCTGTAGTGTAGTTCACTTTCCTCCCTCAATTTAAAGATTCTCATAGTTCCTCAAATTCTTTCATTTTTACCCTCAGTTTAAAAAAATAGGAGCATCTTTAATGGTCCAAGTCAAAATAATTTTATAACTTGCTACAGTATAAAAAAATCTACAGTATAAAAAAATCAATTTTAATTATGTCCCTTCAATTATGACTTGTTATTTTAACACAACTAAGTGCCAAATCAAATTAGTTTTCAACTATTGAAGTAGTAGATGCAGTGAAGGTGCTTGTTGGAAGGGTGGTTGAGATGGTGTAATTGGAAGTGTCCCTGTACTGTTCTTATATAGTGCAATATATTTTTATTTTGGCTGTTAAAAATAAAAATAAAAAACTCAGTGAATTAAAATTAATTATTTACAAATGATACAATAAATGATGTTCCTATGACGTTATAGATCTTCATATGATACACTGGGTAATTAATTTATGTAATTATAATTATAATTATAATTATAATTTTTAATATTATTTTTTATAATTTGTAAAATATCTATATTTTAAAAGTTTTCGTAGTCTTAATTTGTGAAAATTGTGGGAAAAAAAAGAAGTTAAGTTTTAGTAAGAAATCTGGTATGACAACAAAGTAACTTTGTCAAATTTTGGGTTAAATTTTGCTTAACGTTTGGCTTTGTCAATTTTTTGCAATGGTTTTGACACAATATTGGAGGAATACTTATATAAAATCTAGTTATTTTTAATTTTGATAAGCCGTATAACTCAATCATCCAAGATGCTTTAATAAATAAATTGCGTTTCCCAATAGAATTCCTATCCGTAGTATTTATTACATCTTTGAAAAAGTACCACGTAAAGTGAAAGGGAAAAATTATGGATCATATAAATTTTTTTATAAAAATGATTATAAAAAATTTATGATATTTGAATTATCTTGATTAGTATGTGGTGTTTTATTTTAAGTGTAATTTAAGGATCATAAAATTTTTATGATTATTTTCATAATTTTTTTTCATAATATCTAATATTGCTGAAAGTGAAATCATAATATATATTGATGATTAAAAATTATCAAGAAAAAATGTATTTGCTGTTCATCTTTCTTTATTTCAATAATATCGAATTTTTGGGCGTTCAAAAAGAAAAAAATAATAATAATAAAAAAAAAGTGGGCATACATCCAATCACCTAGAAAAATAAACAAACCCAAAGCATAAAGTTGTAGTTAATATTGTTTTTTTGTGACAGCTATATATAGCTTTTTTTTTTTTTTTTTTTTATTTGAACCGGAAAAAAAGGGCTCTGTGGTGTCATTACAGTCCCGTTAGGCCCTAGCCCCGAGGTAACCGGTTGCCAGCTAGGAATTAACCCCCACCAAGTGAGGGACCTACCACCAGGGCATCAATTAATATATAGCTTTGACATGTAGTTTGTGTAGGCCATTAATTATTATATTCCCCAAACTGGACGTATTTTAGCATCTCATTACCCTCATAATTAATCACAATTTTATAATATTATAAAAGGTAAATAAGGTTCTAGAAGTAGAAGTTGGAGGGGTATTAGGGGAGACACTAAAGATTCCATGAAATGAGTGATTGATTACAAAGTAAAAGAAATGCAAAGTACCTAGCTTCGTTAGTTAGATCCGTTAGGTTTCACTTGTTTATAATCTACTTCTTTTAAAATGAATTAGTTTACATAAATAGAATCAATCACGTAAAATATAAGTGAAATAATTTGAATGAAATTGTATTTTTAGTGATGAATTCCATCATCTAATATGTATGACCAAAATTGATTAATACAGTTAATTCTAGAAATCAAATATTTAATATTTCCTCCATATGAAGCATAAATTTTGGAGGGATATCAAAATTTCAATATTCTCTCCAATACATTTGATTGAATCCCACATGGATTTCTTGAACTTTTTTGAAAGAATTTTTTTTCTTATAAATAGTTGTAGACTTTCACAACAATTTCAAGTTCTTAATGTGATTCCTCATAAGAAGAAACCCTTGAAAGATAGTTTCTAATTCAATTTTTTTTTATATTCTTATATATATTATATATATATACATATATAAAATAAAAAAGAAAGAAATCAAAAAAAAAATAGAAGAAATCAAAAAAAAAAAATCCAAATCCATCAACCCGATGAACCGGCTAGGGGTCGACCGGTTCACTAGTTCAACCGCCAATTTTCCCGATTATTGACGATTCAACCGGTCGAACTGATTGGTCCAGTTCAGGCCTCGTTTGGGAACAGGCTAATTTAGTAACTTTTTGACTATTTGGCTAAAATATGAGCTTAAAAAAACTAGTATGTTTGGGATGGCTTTTTAACTTTTTACAAAAAGATGTGCAAAAAGTAGAGAGAAAATAGAATATTTGACTTTTTGGTATAGGTTGTTAGCTTTTTGGCTAATTTAGTAACTTTTTGACTTTTTTGCTAAAATGGAAGGTTCCCAAACGAGGCCTCAGTTTTCAAAACCTTGCCCCGACACATGATATAAAAGGTATCCCTTTGAACCATGGAGGTGCTCTAATATGCAATTTAAGGTAAGTAATATGTTCATAAGCAACATTACTGGGGCAAAGAATGATTTTCTCTTTTCATATATTCACACACCTTTATAAAAAAAAAAATCTCTTTTCATATATTCACACTCCTTTATTTATAAAAAAAAAAAAGAAAAAAAAGAAGAAGAAAGGGTACACGTTTAAGAAAAATCAGTTAGATGATCCAGATTCATTGATGTGGAGCTCCACTATCTTTATATCTTGTGATCAAGAAATTTAATTTTAAAATAGGACAAATTACACTAATAGTCCTTATACTTAGAGACTCGTATCACTTTGATTCTTAACTTTTCAATTGTGATACAGTTGACCTTGAATTTTAAATTTTATTTCAAATAAGGACAATTGAAGATACCATTGCTTAATTTCAAGGGTAAAATCGTCAATTTGATAAAACATAAACTAATTTGACAAAAATAAATGTCAAAAAAATATTTTTTAAATTATTTCTACACTCCAAAGATAAAATTATGTGAAATTTGATAAATCTTTTAGACATTTATTTATTTATTTTACCAAATTAATTTTTATTATATGTTTAGATGATGATTATGTAATGCGTAGTTGTTAAACTTTTAAGCCAAGTTTGGGATGTTCTAAAAAAGTTAAAAAGTCAAAAAGTTACTCAAAAAGTTAAAAAGTTAACACTATTCACCAAAAGTCAACAATTACGGCTGCACAACTCCCAATTCAAATTTTTTCCTACAAATCAATTTTTACAATTTTTTATTACACATTTTCCAATAAAAAGTCAAAAAGTTAACCCAAACATCCATATTTTCAACCTCAATTTTTTAGTCCAAAAAGACAAAAAGTACACTTATTTAGTCTTCCCAAACTTGGCCTTAATGTGTAACCAATACATTTAATATATGAAATATTTTTAATTTTGGATTTTTTTTTATTTAATGGATTGGTTTAATAATGATATCAAAGTTGTTGTCATATTTGACTTTTAAAAAAATAGAAACTAATTTAATAAAAACAAAAACAACCACGCATTACATGATTATCATCCAAACACATAGTAAAAATTAATTTGGTAAAATAAATAAATAAGTAAATGTCTAAAAGATTTATCAATTTTACATAATTTTATCTTTAGTGGGTAGAAATAATTTTTAAAAAATCCAATCCAAAATATTTTTTTGACATTTATTTTTGTCAAATTAGTTATATTTTGTCAAATTAACGGTTTTGCTCTTAAAAGATCAAATGTTATCTTCAATTGTCCTTAATTGGAACAAGATTTAAAATTTAGGATCAAATGTGTCATAATTGAAAAGTCAATGATCAAAATGACACAAGTCCCAAACTATAGGGATCGTTAGGGTAATTCATCATTTAAAATATTATGTCCTCGTTTGGCATGTAAAATTTTGGGGTTAAAAATTTAAAATAGTCAAAAAAATGACAAAATAAGTTAAAAAGTTAATAACAGAAAATGTTATATCTAAATCATAATCATTTTATTTTTTCTTTGACAAAATTCAAAAAATCATCACAAACGAGACTTTTTAACTCTAGACTAAAATAGCTAAAAAGTTGAAAAGCTAACCACATCCCAAACAAAGTAGGTGTTTGAGATAAACTAAAAAAGTGTATTTTTTTACTTACATATACTTATTTGGGTTACATCAATCAACATCTATTAACATCCCCTTTATACTTTCTAACCACTTTTTATGTTTTTTTTTCACCTTTTTTTTTTTTTATAAAAAATCAAAATTACACTTATTTAGAACATACTAAACCACCTCAAATTATGTATATATAGTTTTTTTTTTTTTCTTTAAGCCACAACCACGGTTAATAGTGAGAAAATTTTGAACTAGGAAAGCAAGGTGATTAATATATGAAAAAAAAAAGAAAAAAAAGAAAAGAAAGGAAGTAAGAGGACAGAAATGAGATTGTGGAGCAAATCCATACAGATGAAAGGCAGGGCCACAGACATGTTGTGGATACGAATCATTTGATTAGAGCAGCAGTGGTCCCAAAATGTCCCAAGAGAGTAACACCACCACTGATCATACGTCATGCTGATGACGCAATCACATCAAATCGAGAACACGACACGTGGCAATGCAAAAGCAGCTTCATTGTATCCCACCAAGAAAGCCTCACGAAGGTGCAGCTCATCAAAAAGGCTTTAACAATACCAACAATATAACACTAAAAATACTATTATATATTAATTGAACGCACGCCTATGCTTTTCTATCTATCCCTCTCTCTCTCTCTCTCTCTCTCTCCACACACACTTACTTCCCATGTGCACTCCCTCACCTCCCTAATTAACAATGGACAGTAACAACCACCATCCCCAAAACCCTAACCCTAACCTTACTTGCACTTATCAAAACACTGAATTCTTCGATACGTTGCCGGATTTTGAACTCTCCGATTATCTCATGCTTGAAGATGGCACTGAAGGAGATTTGTCGTCTCAAAATGTGACTTCCTCTGATAATGTCACCGGTGGCTCTGTTGAATCGGCCGGTGCAACTTCAACAAATAGTAACATGCAAGTCATACACACCCACATATATCTTTCTTTTTCTCCATTTTTTTTTCTATTTCTCTCTCTTTTTTTTTAAAAAAAATTTATTTTGGTTAACATTGGGTTATTAGTTAAAAAGGGTATGACTGAGAAAATTAATAATAATTGGTATTTGTATTGATGTTTGGATGTAGAAAATGTAGAACTGGGGTGAAGAGAAACAAGCCGGATCAAGCGGATTTTAGGGTTGCATTTAGAACAAAATCAGAGTTGGAGATCATGGATGATGGATTCAAGTGGAGAAAGTATGGGAAGAAGATGGTTAAGAACACCCCATATCCAAGGTAATTATTATATATATATACGCTACTAAATATTTCTCATCTACTGGTTTAGCTTTTAGCCTTTTAATACTCTATACTTTGCTTATTATGGAAGTCCATGGGTTGGATTGATTGTGGACAAAACAAATTAGTTTTTTTTAAAAAAAAATTGATTGGCTTGATGCAATTGATGAGCTCTGCTACAGGTGGTAGAGCTGCTTTATAATTAATGAATTGTACTATCAATATGAGCATATACCCCACATTTGATAATTTTTTCTTTATCTATTTGGGTTTTTTTTTTTTAATAATTTTTTTTTTTGGGCTTGCTACCTTATCACAAATCTATAATCTACATGAACACAATATCTTGTCTTTTATATATTGCCTCTCTCTCTCTCTCTCTCTCTCTCTCTCTCTCTCTCTCTCTCTCTCACAGTGAGCTTTTGATTACTATTGGCTAAACACACACACATGGATTAGCACAATTAAAATTTTAAAATAGGGTTTCATTTTAATATATTGAATGATAATATAGTTACTAATTAAGGGTCTTGGTTAGATTTGGCTTCTAATTAAGATAATGTTGTTCATAGTTTTGATAATACATGCATTTAGGCTAGCTAGGGTTTCTGTAACTAAAATAACCTAGCTACATATACACACAAATATATATATATATATATATTATATAATTGTCCCTTTCAAGTCCTATTAGTTTGGTCCCAGAAGAGTGAGGAGCACAAGCCAACATCAACACACTGCATGCAACTTGGCAGACAAAAGTAACAAAGCTTTCAATTCTTCTCCAGGATTTAATACTCTCACATTGTGTGGGGATCATAATTTGAACAAAGATTTAGAAAGAAAAAGGAGAATGACAAAAAAAATTTAACTTATATTAATTTTATTCACATTTGTCTCACTTATTTCCTCTCCCTTTTCAAATTCTTATTTAATTTTATGATTTAAATACAATTTGGATGTGTATTCCTCTTTATTCAATTCAATATATATATGTGGCTCTGCAGCTTGCACGATTAGCCCCTTCTACTCTTTCTTCTTGAGTTGAGTGAGTTAACAAAACTATTGTCCTACAAAGTAGTCTCACTTGGAGGGTCTCGATTAAAGTCAGAATTTTATCTTGTATGAACTTGACTACAAGAGATTGTTTACACTTAGAAAGTTTTAAATTTGATATCTTACAGGGACCACACCTGCCAATCCCTTGAGGTTCTCAAATTTTTCTTAATAATGTATTTATAAGATAAAGATTGAATTGATATAATATAAAATCAAATATGAATGAATTTAAATCATAAATTAATATTATTAGGTAAAATTCAAAATAAAAATTTTAAATTTATAATATTTGTGGTCCGGGATTAATTGACACATAACTTTGATCATTTCAAGTACAGTGCAGCCGCCAACCTTTGCCCATGTGCGGTTTTTCACTCCCCACTATACACATATATACACGTAAGCAATGAGTTATATTTCTACAAGTTTACGATAATATCTACACAATTTTGAAGAATATGATGATTTCAACAATATATATACTGAAAAAGCATTGTTCACAGATTTATGTTTGCCCATTGTTCTTACCACAAAACAGAAATTATACAATATCTTAACATTTACTAATACTATACAGTATTTTTGCTTCCTAGAAATTGTCTCCTACTTAACATGTCTACTAATACTATACAGTATTTTTGCTTTGTTTTCCATCATTGATCTCCATTGTATCATCTACAAGCTGTGAATTTGCCACATCAGTATTTTTTGTTGGTTTCTCACCAACATTTTGTTTCGAGCTTGCTTTTGATCGGGTGTCTCTCTTGGTGTCAACCTAGTTGGGATTAGGATGGGGTGCTTGATTATTGTTGCTCATTGTCTTCTCTTTATTGATGTTTGCTCATAAGTAATATATGCTTGTTTTCATCAATAAAGTTTTTTCTTTGCCGATCAAAAAAAAAAAAAAAAAAAATAGTTGTAAATGGTTTTTTCTTTTACATAAATTCACATGACTATTTCATGTAATCATCAATTTTTATTTTTGGTTAGGCTGTAAAAATTTATATTTTCAATATTAAACATGCTTATATTTGAAACTTAATTATATGATGATAGTGTGCATTGAAATTTCATTTGATATGTAGTTTATAAGTATCATGATTTTATATTTGAAACTTATGATTAAAAAAATAGTGAGATTTCTCTTTTAAATTTCAAGAGCAAATAGAACAACAACAACAAAAAGCACGGTCTACTAATAATGAATTGATGATCACCAATTCCTTTAAAAACTTAATTTATTATAAAGAGGAATAACTTTATTTACTATATTATAGTTCCAACAGCTAGAATGATGAAACGGTATCAAATTAAAGAGTTTGGAAGCAACAAAAAAGAAAAAAAAAAGGCTCATGATCAGTATTCCTAGCCAAGATGTCGTTATGTGAGAATATTATGGAAGCAAGAAAATTGTTTTCTTGTTTTCTTTTTTTTTTTCGTTATGTGAGAATATTATGTGACAATTTTGTGGGGTCTCTTGTTTTCTTTTTTCTTGTTAAGTCCTTCTTAACTTTTTTTATTTTTAAAAAAAAAATAAAAAAAAAATTTGTGAGGCCGAGGGGTTGGTTGTATGGATGCGAGTAGCAGTAGTAGGAGTATTTTGTACTTTCCGAATCTCTCTCGATGCATGTCATATTCCTATACTTTTAATTTCATGCTGTTAATGAAATTTTTCTTTACCGATCAAAAAAAAAAAAAATTTATGGAAGCAAGAAAAAAAGCCCAGGGATTAGTATTCTTAGTTAAGATTTTGTAATGTGAGAATATTATAGAGATAACGTAAATTTAATATTGGCTTGTATGAAAGAGAGCGAAAGTGCCAGAGGTATATGACCACCGAAAGAATTTTTTTTTAAAATAATAATAATAATAATTGATAAAAGTATCAAAGTTAGAAAGTTGCATAACAATATGTTAAAGAATTTGAGTAACGTTAAAGAGAAGGACATCACAGAAAGGGCATGATTTGAATGTTCAAGGTACATTATTAACCTTATCATCTATGGAGGATATTATATTATATCATATTCTTAGTTTATTTTATTTTTTTACTTTTTATTTTTGCTAATAAATAGATCTAAAATCCAAAGACAATAGAAGTCATTTAATATGCCACAAGACCTTTAGTCTAGGACCACATTCTGAAGCGTGCTTTTCACTAAATTAAGTCATGTTTGTGAGTCTCATTTCATATCCTTACATACAAAAGGAGGTTGTATAATCAAATCACAGTTGCAAAGACTTCAACATTTACAATCAGCAATTGGGATCATGATTGTTTTCATTTAGGACCCTTTTTTATAAGTAAATTTTGCAGTGGTAAAACTCGAATCCCTAGGCCTATCTTCCATGGATATATGTACCCTTGTTAACTCAATTGTATGTTTAATACTCCCCTTCAAATTAAGTCATCTTTGACGCAAACTTTGCTACATGTTTCTAATCATCAATGGATGTAGGGAAGATGAAATTCTGATTCGGACCTTCATATTTCACCAATATTACTTCTTAAACATTTGACCTATACATTAACTATATTAAAGAAAATACAAAATAATCACACAAGATGTACATGGCAGTACTAGTTGATTATGCATATGCATATGCATATTAGTGAGCATGTAGGTGCATCTTAATTAGTTAATTTGGCATTTTGGCATGTAATTAATGCTGGAAAAATTATGCATGTGGCTCTTGTATGTTGTTTCTTGTATCGTTTTGGTTCTTATAATTTCAATTGACTCGATTTTGACATTGAATTTATGATTTTGTTTCAATTTTGTTCAATTCACTACAATTATTATTATTTTTTATGAAAAATATGCCCATGGACTGTATGTGTCATATTTTTAAGAATAAAATTGTAAACTTGATAACCTTAGTGAGTTAACCTTAAATAACTCAAGAATCAAAATAACACAATGAGTAAAATATAAGGACTACCACTATTATTTACCCATTAAATATTTGTTTTATATAGAAATAAAAATCTCTCAATGCATTTTCACTGTGTTTGTTTATTAACAATAGCAAGTGATAAACAGGAACTACTATAAATGTTCAAGTGGAGGGTGCAATGTGAAGAAGAGAGTGGAAAGAGACAGAGAAGACTCAAGCTATGTGATAACTACATATGACGGAGTTCACAACCATGAAAGCCCTTGTGTGGTTTATTACAACCACACCCCCCTCATGGTACCTCATGGCTGGACTTTGCAACCTTCTTCTTCTCAATCCTCTCCATCATGAATTCCCCGTGCTTTACTTTTTTTTATCAAGCAAGTTATAAAATACATTAGCTATGTAGTGCAAAAAAAACATTTCGAAATGTATCTGAAAACGAAATGTGTGGTGTAAATTTATATGATGTGAATTGCACCCAAAATAAACTTTATTACACACCTTTTGTTTTTGGACCCTTCTTTTTTTTTTGAACACTTATTTTTGAACCTTTTGAAATACTAAATACTATTCTAAGCGCATATAATGCAATTAGAAATGGGGTGTGTGTGTGGGTGTTTTTTTTTTTTTTTTTTTTGTGTGCTTGTCTGCATATGTTCATCTATTATTACACCAAGCCACTAAGCTTTCCATTTACCCTTGAAAAAATTTTTGGGTTGTCTTCTTAAAAGTCAACTTATTTTTTGAATTATTCTTTTCTTTTTAAAAAAATTCAACTTCGAGTAAAAAAATTTACTTTTTAGGTCCGTTTACACTAAATGATTCCAAAAATTTTAAAAATTTAAGTAAATTTTGAAAATAAAAATCACTAATGACAAATATTAATAAAATTTTATCAAAAAAAAAACCTTATAAAAATTGAATTGTTTTTGTCTTAATTTTTTTTTTTAAAGAAACAAATCCAAAAAGTAGAGAAATTTAACATCATTTTAAAATAAGTTCACTAAAGACGAAAATTAACTTAATTAACAAAAAAATCCAAAATGACAACTCCCAAAAAAAGCCTTAGGGTTGGTTTGGGAAATACTACTTTTTTAGTCATTTTATTTTTTTACTTTTTTAAAATAAATTTATTGTTAAAAAGAGCTGATGTCTTTGGAAAATGCTAAAAAAAATGTTTGTTTGTTTTTTTTTTGACAAAAATAACGTTAGTATGTTAGTAGTTAGATTACAACGCGGACCAATATCTCTGCATAGACTCGAATCTAAAACTTTACTCTAGCACCTAAATACTCTCTTCATGACCACTTGGATACAACTCAGGTAAAAAAAAAAAAAAAAATTGCTTTTCCTATTAGTGAAAAAATTCAGGTAAGCTAATGTGTGTGTTTTTTCCTTTCTATTTTTTGTATTTAGTGATATTTTTTATTTTTAAAATTTTATTTTTTAGATATTTTTAGATTAAAATGACCCAAATAGTGAAGAAAACATATATATTTAAATTTTTTATTAAAGACAAAAAAATTCAAAAAAATGCAATCTTTTTACTTTCCAAATAAGGATGTATCTTGTTTTAAAAAGTTATATTCCCTTAATCTGGATTTATTTGTCTATTTTTTTGTATGGAGGAGGATTTCCTCTAATCCAAATGGAGGGGGTTGTTCTGGCCCGTAGGTCTATAACAGGCATCATTTTAATGATCCAACCGTTCATTTTATTGGACACTTCATGTATTTTATTCACAAAAAAAAAATGTCAATTTAATAATTGTAACTTGTTCAATTTATTATGTTTTTCACTAAAAAATGGACGACAATTGTATCTTTAAAAAATAAACTATACATATTTTTGATAACAAAAATAATAAATTGAATAAGTTGCAATTATCGGATCGATCTCATTTTTTTATAGATGAAATAAATGAAGTGTCCGACAAAATAAATAGTTTGAATCATTCCCATGGGCTCAAATAGCCCCCTCCAATCCAAAAATATGGACGGGAGGGAATCCTCCTCCTTTTTATATTACACTTTAATCAAGTCTAGATAATGTATTTTGATAAAATAAAATAAAAATTCAAAAAAATTCCCACAAATTATAAAATCTCAATAAGTTATTAAAATTAAAATTTAATTTCCCAATTATTTTGAAATAGTGAAAATGGAAGAAAACAATTTTAAAATAGCAATCAACTAATTTTATTGATGCAATTTAACAATATGTGGGCTATAGTCATCTCTAATCCATTTATTATAGAATCATGCTCACAAAACTCAAAAGACACTGAGGTGATATAAAAATGCGTAATGTTAGCGATATTAAATTTTTTACTAAACAAATGATTAAATGTCTCATATAAATATGGGGTTTGATAGAAAATTTGAAACATATAGCATTTTCTATAAAAATTATCTAAGAAATAGAACATCGTTCAACTTTTTCTTTTTTTAGATGGTAAAAAACATATAGTTGATACTCTCAGCTCAAATGTTGGGCTGATATCAGGAGCTCTACTTTGCTTTTGCTGAGATGTTTTTAAAGAAAATAGAGAAGATGTTTGATATATTTCCAATCAATAGAATAGAAGCTACAGCAGTCCTTTTATACAAGTGTGATACAGATTTAACCTGACTTGTAACTATCTAACCATCTTGAGTTACTTGTTCTAACAATATAACAGCTTTGATTAATATCTCTAACAAACTAACTAATCTCTAACAAACTAACTAATTATCCATGTGCAGGTACAGCAGTTAATAGCTGAGCTGGTTGAGCTTCTTGAACTCTTTGATCTTGAGACTTAGCTGGAGGCTTAGCACCAGCAATAGATTGATCTGGAGGCTTAGCAGCAGTAGCAGAATCTTTATCAGTCCCCTTCAAACTCATAGGACTGGGAAGGACTAAGAGTTTGCTTTGAAGATATTGAAAGCGAGCCACTGAGAGAGGTTTAGTGAATATATCTGCGATTTGATCAGTAGTCGGAATATAAGCAATGTGGAGAGTTTTAGCAGCAACCTTTTCTCGAACAAAATGATAGTCCACCTCAATATGCTTTGTACGGGCATGAAAAACTGGATTATGTGCCATTGCAATGGCAGAAAGGTTATCACACCATAGAGTAACAGGAGCAGAAACATGGAGCTCAGTGAGGAGCATGCTAAGCCAACAGAGTTCGGCTGAAGTTTGAGCTAAAGCTCTGTATTCGGCTTCGGAGGAAGATCTGGACACAGTAGGCTGCTTCTTTGCAGTCCAAGAAATAAGATTGGGACCAAGGTAAATGCAGTATCCAGTTGTAGACCTTCTGTCAAAAGGATTACCTGCCCAATCTGAATCAGAGTAGGCATTAAGAAGAAGAGGACCAGGAGAGAAATGCAGGCCATGAGTTAAAGTACCTTTCACATATCTGAGTAGCCTTTTCACAGCAGCAAAGTGACAATTTAAGGGAGATTGCATGAATTGACAAGCAGTGTTGACTGCAAAAGCCAAATCTGGTCGAGTGATAGTGAGATATTGAAGAGCACCTACCAAGCTTCGATAAAGAGAAGGGTGAGCAAAGGGTAGAACATCTTCAGAAGAGGAAATGGAACCTTTAACAACCATAGGAGAAGAATAAGGTTTGCAATTTTGCATGCCAGCTTTGGCCAAAACTTCTGAGGCATATTTGGATTGAGAAAGAACATAACCTGAGAAAGACATGAGAACAGAAATGCCTAGAAAGTAATTAATAAAACCAAGTTCCTTCATGGAGAATGTGGCATGCATTTGTTGAATGAGAGTGTGAATGTACTGAGGATCACTACCTGTGAGGAGAATATCATCTACATAGATGAGAAGAATAGTGATGGAAGTGGAGGTCTTGTGAACAAACAATGAAGAATCACAGTGACTGGTAACAAAATTTTGAGAGAGAAGAAAGGTAGAAAATGTAGAAAACCAAGCTCTAGGGGCTTGTTTTAAACCATAGAGAGCTTTATGTAACTTGCAGACAAGAGAAGGTTGAGTGGAATGAATAAAACCTTGTGGCTGAGTCATATACACCTCTTCCTCTAGAACACCATGTAAGAAGGCATTGGAAATATCAAGTTGTTTAATGGACCAATTATAGTGAAGAGCAAGACAAAGAAGAACTCTGATAGTGGGCTGCTTGGCCACAGGACTAAAGGTTTCAAAATAGTCCACACCCTCTGTTTGAAGAAAACCTTTGGCTACGAGTCGAGCCTTGTGTCTAGCTATGGTGCCATCTGAATTTTTCTTGATTCTGTAAACCCATTTGCACCCTATAGCTTGTTTACCAGGAGGGAGAGACACCAAAGACCAAGTGCCCTGTCGTTGGAGAGCTGCATATTCATCTAACATAGCATGTTGCCAAGCTGGAGAAGCAACAGCCTCTTGGTAGGATTGAGGTTCAACAGGAGCAGCAGAGTTAGTAGTAGAAGCAGCAGTGAAACAAGTGAGATTTTTAGCTTTAGATCTGGTAAGCATAGGATGAGTGGGAAGACAAGGAAGATCAATTGTGATAGAAGAGATAGGAATTTGAGATGTAGAAGAAGGAATGGATGAATCAGAAGGAGTGGAAATAGAGTTAGGCAGAGGCAGAACAGAGGACTGGGGCTGAACAGAAACAGATGGAAAATGAGGCAGAGCAGGTGATGGCAGATGAGGTGACTGCTGAGAGACAGAACAAGGGATTTGCTGCTGCTGCTGATAGACAGAACAAGGAGGATTTTGCTGAGAAATAGAAATAGGAGTAGAAGAAGATGAAGGTAAAGTAGAGGTATTAGGAAATTCTGAAGCAGAAGAAGAATGAGCTGTAGAAGGCAGTGAAGCAGACTGCTGGTCTGGAGAAGCATGCCAAAAGAAATCAATCAAGGTAGGAGAGATTGTAGAAGGAGGTTGAGCTGACAATTGAAAAGGAAAGGATAATTCATCAAAGACAACATGTCTAGAAATATACACTTTCCCAGTTTTAGGGTCAAGACATCTATATCCTTTGATAGAAGGTTGATAACCAATAAACACACAAGGGATAGACTTGGTTTGAAGTTTATGTGATGTATAAGGCTTAAGCCAAGGATAGCATCTACAACCAAAAGTCCTCAACAGCTGGTAATCAGGCTTTTGATTGAATAATACTTCATAAGGAGTGAGATTATTCAATTTAAGAGTAGGATGCCTATTAACAAGAAAGACAGCTGTAGCAAGAGCATCAAACCAATAAACCAAAGGCAAAGAGGAGTGATGCATGAGAGTGATAGTGGTTTCTATGAGATGCCTATGCTTTCTCTCAGCAACACCATTTTGAGAGGGAGTGTGAGGACAAGACAATTGATGTTCAATTCCTTTTTGTTTAAGAAAATCTTGAAAAGCATTACTAAGATATTCACCCCCATTGTCACTCCTTAATATCTGAAGTTTAGTGGCAAATTGAGTTTCAACAAAAGCTTTGAATTCAAGAAACTTAGCAAACACTTCACTTTTATAATGGAGAGGAAAAAGCCAAGTAAATTTACTAAAATCATCAATGAAGAGTACATAGTATTTAAAACTAGAAACAGAAGCTGAAAAGGGGCCCCATACATCAGA